ACAGACGGATATCTACAAAGGAAATTATTTAGAAATAAAACTTGGACGGGTCAATACACCCATTTTCATAGCTTCACACCGATTCAATGCGATAGAAACTTAGTTAAGTGTCTTAGCTATAGAATAAAACGCATATGCTCAGAGGAATGCATTAAGGAAGAAATGTATAAACTGAAATTTACACTGCTAGAAAATGGATATCCAGAGAACTTCCTAGACAAAGTGTATGTCAATACCTAGAGACAGGGTAAAGGTGGATACCGTAGACAAGAAACCTTTTGTATCTTAAGTTAACTTATGAAGGGGAAATTGCAGCTGACATTCTAAGATGTTGACTTAATAGATCAGTAGAGAGAACATTTCCTGCAGCTAAACTGGTACTCAACTTTGCAACTAAACCAGTACTCACACAATGAGTCAAGGATAAATTACCAAAGATGGCTTCATCAACGTGTATCTATGAATTTAACTGCTTATGTGGAGCTAGTTACATTGGTCATACTCAGAGGGCTTTATCCATGCGCGTGCGTGAACGTGTACCTATATGGTTGAGTAAAGGGGTAACCAAATGCGTAAATAGTGCAGTCTTAGCCCACTTGGTAGATACTGAACACCCGATAAAACTTGACCAGGTGTTCTCAGTTATTTACCGCGTTCCTAGTAATCTATCTAGAGGAACTCGACGACGTCCCACAGACATACGTTTTCTTTAAACATCTCTCTTGAGTGAACCATCCTCTCCTCTGTTCAATTGGTCATTAAGGGAGTGTAATCTATTATCATTTCACCGAGGGCCTCACGACCCATGATGAGTTCTCTTCCTGTATTGTCTCATCCCAGTTTCACATTCATATCACCCATCAGGATTCTGATATCGCCATTTGGGACGTTGTTCATTACTGTTTTTAGTTATCTGTAGAAATCCTCCTTCTTCTTTTGTTCTGAGACGTTTATAGGCGCATAGCATTGAATGATTGTAAGCTTCTTTCCTTTTGAGTTGAACCTAGCTGTCATTATCCTGGAGGAGATTGGTTCCCACTGCATGAGAGCTTTGATTGCTGTTGGTGACATCATGATGACCACTCCCTCGGTGTGCTCGTGGTTGTTCTCTGGGTGGCCGGAAAAGATTATTGTCTCTCCAGTTGGTAGTTCGTACCTTCCAGTTCCGTTCCATCTGCTTTCGCAGATTCCCAACACTTCTATTCTATATCTTCTCATTTCTGCGGCTACCTGGACAGCCTTTTCAGCTTCGTACATTGTACGAACATTCCAGGTACCCATCTTTACTTTTGCTTTCATCGAAAGAAGGCACATCGGCTGACTGGCTTCCCGAAGGCTAGCTTTCACCAGCCTGCGTCATTTCACTTCCCCGATTTCAGCGAAAAATAAGTTTTTTGTTTATATTTTTAGAATTTTTAATATATTTATGCGTTGAAGCTTCTGTAGCTCCAACTCTCCCTCTTTATCCGGGCTTGGGACCGGCAAGAAAACTATCGAGCTAGTAAACTAGGAGAAAGTGGAGATGGATTGGACACTCGCTCGCTGAGGAGTCCGCTGGGTGACACAGCGCGTCAGGCCATGTTCGAGTGGAACCAGGTCGAAAGGGAAGCGGCGAGTGGGACGTCAGGGTGAGGGTGACATGGAGGAGATCGTGTGAAGACGAGATGAATATGTAGATATTATAGTAGCTGGCCCAAAAATTCGAACAGGCGGCCAAGGTCGCTGGATGAAACAGAATGGACTAACATGGATGCAAGTGAAAAGTACAACAGAAGGAAGACAGAAGCAAATGGAGACGTGCAGTTGGAGCTCTATGTTCCACTAGGAACCGAAGGGAACAATAATAATAATAATAATAATCTATTATCATGTTTTTCTTCACAAGTTAAGATAAGCGATAGATGTGCATAAATAAATCGTATTAACATATAGAGCGAATAAATAGATGGCTGAACAAACGCATCACTGAACACCTTCCTTCATTGTCTGAGAAAGGCTACACAAAATCTATGAATAGTTCTATTTCGGCTCATTTAATTTTGTTTTTATTCCTTCACGTTCCCCAGTGGAACGTAGGGCTTCAGACTAGAGGCTTGTAGTTTCTGTAGCAGTGGTGTTTAATTTTACAGGATGAGGTTGCTAGCCTCATACCCACCCAGCCTTTCCTCTTTACCAGTTTTATTTCTGGCTTAGGGGGAGGTAAAGGAGTGCGTCTGTGGCCTGGGATCGAACCCCGGATCATGTGTGTGGTCGGCGAGCGTTCAAACCGTTGTGCCACCGACACACTACTCATTTGATGGGTAGAGGCCAACAAGTGAACAGAAGAAGGGCTTTCATAGTCATCGAGTAACATTCCATCGAATTGAATTCAAATCCATGTGAATGTTTCATTTTTCTTCATGAATCACATTTATGCAGAGGGAAGAAGTTGAAGACCCCTCCTCACTACTCTTTTTATTTATAACTATGATATTGTAAAATAGTAAATAGTGCATAATCTTAAATCGAAGACTATCAAGCGATGTGTTTTTACAACGTGAATGTTTGTTGATATTTATTGCCTTAGCAACTCTATGGTGATAACTTTTACATTAATGCAGACTGCGTATGCTCAGCCCCAATGGGTTGATCTCTGACGAAATCTCAGTACGAATACAGAGGGTTCGTTTCGCATATGCCAGTTTAAGCCGTCTCTGGCGTAGACGTGATATCCAGCTGGGCTATTGACCAAAGAGCGGGTGTACTGCCCAGCAGCAGTCCGCTTCGTCCTCCTTTATGGCTGTGGGACCTGGCCATTGAGAGTGGAGGAAATGAAAAGACAAGCTGTCTTTGATCATCGGCGCCTACGTTCTATCTCCCGTGTGAAGTGGTATAATAAGGTGAGCAATATTGAGGTTAGGCATCTGTCGACTTCTAGGTAAGGAGGGGAAATCAATCCACGAGACTGTGAAGCTACATAGACTGAAATGGTTAGGACATGTGTTACGCGTGCATTCCTAGTCATCGCCTTCCTCGACAAAGGTCAATGTTAGCTGACATAAGGTCAGGCCGGGAAAGAGCCAGCACATGGTGGTCAAACCATAACATGGCCTCATCAGTCAACGAAATCCACAACAGTTAGTTTAAGCCAGCCACATAGGAAGGTGTAGACTTACTGACTGGTTGGGGTCCTCGGGACGGTAAGAACCAATGTCTAGAAACAATCGTTGATATGGCTCAGTGGCTGTTGCAGATGCATCCATCCTTTTTGACTTATGATTTCCAATGAAACTATGTTGTTCTTCGTCATTACTATTCCCTTGTCTCACACCTCTGTTTACTGTCTCTTTCCTACTTTCCCGCCCCTTCACATTTTAGTATGCAATTCACTATTTAACACTGTTAAATGTTCCTTTTGGTGTATTCAAATGGATACCATCAACTGCTTTACTTCTCATTGTGAATAACAATTTAACCGGTCAACAGTGATGGTAAATACTAATCACCGATGATTTTGGCCGGCTTTCCAGCTATTGACTAAAATGTTTTAACTTAGGTCGGGACAGTAACAGAGGTAATTACAGGTAGAGACTAAGTAGAAGTGGGGTAGAGAATAATGTCATTTAAATTAGAACTGAAATTGAGCAAATAAGTTGGGTGACGTAACATAATTGACTAAAAATTGAGCGTTGGTCAAGTCAGTAACAGTGGTAGTGAGGTGTAGAAATTAAATCGGGTGGGGGTAGAGAACAGCAAAGTTGAAAATGTAAAATATTACAATTGTAAAGAAAAAATAATACTAATGAAGAGACAGAAAAAAAGAAAAAGATTAGGTAGAATTTACAAGTCGGGCAATAAGATAGATTACGTCCATTGCAAGTGTAGTGATTGAACAAACTTCGTCTGTGTACAGAGTTCAGGGCTTAGCAAGTGAATCGCCATAGCGTCTGCAGTTTGAAGAAGTCTGATTCGTACACCTTTAGGAAGACTACTTCTTACTCTGTAGACTTATTCAATCACTACACTTGCAATGGACGTAATCTATCTTATTACCCGACAAGTAAATTCTACCTAATCTCTTTTTTTCTGTTTTTTCATTAGTATTATTTTGTCTTCCCAGTTGTAATATTTTACATTTTCAACTTTGCTGTTCTCTACCCCCACCCGATTTAATTTCTACACCTCCCTGCCACACTGTTACTGACTTGACCAACGCTCAATTTCAAGCTATTATCACGAATCAGTAGACGTTGGAATTCATGAGCTGGTCATTGTGTGTAGGGTACCAGTGGCTGTGAATACTCTACCAGCCTGCCTTGTAACCTGAAGGTTATGGGTCAGAACTATCGCTATGTGTGCGTGCCTACTGCTGATGAGTCCCTAATGCAGATGAAACAACTGTGCAGTACTCCCCTGGTTTTCAAAGTTTGTTTAACTGATATCACTCCGTGGTTAAATTTGAGAAAAAGAATAATAAAAGTTATCGATTGGTATATAATGGTCAGTATAATTGAAATAATTGCACAATATTTAACAATATAGTAAAAAACAACAACAACAACGACAAGGAAGCAAACGAAGTTAACAAAAGAAGTATGTTATGTCAGTAAATTAAATGATGTGATTTTCTACCTATTGAACATTGAACAGAGTTCACAATTTTTCGTTTCAGTTAATTAAGAGTTATAATAAACTACTCAGTATACAAATATGTGCAATTAGTCAGATAAAAATAATGAATAATTAGTTATTATTTTTCACAGCACAATGTTATTTGAACAAATAAAAAAATGTATAATTAAAATTCATCAAAAAAACACAAAAAGTGTATTTTTGTTTAAATAATCTATATTGTTCATTCATTCATTTTTCGCGGTTTATTTTAAACCTGAAGATAAGGTATTTTTTGAAAAAAAACAAACCAATTAATTAATTAATTAGATATGGCAACTCTTATTACTTTAATGAATGAATTAATTAATTAGCGATGAATTGTACGTGTGTGTTATTATTTAATAGATTCACTGGGAGTTGGGTGCATCATCCGTCTTCTTTCTATAAGCTTTCAACTGGTTGATATATTCTCCAGTATTACTGAATTCATATAAACAATGAATCACTTTAGTCGGAAGAAGTCTATAAGACAGAAATAAAAAAGACAGAAAAAAACCAAATGATAATTTTAATAATAATTTGCTTTAATCCAAGACAGTACTTGTGATACAGAATGGAATTCTCAGCATTTTTACTACAGTATTGCATCCAGTTTGAGCATTAACAATAAATAAAATTCTACATAGATTATGGGTAATCTCAGTTAGTTTTGACAACATATTAGCATATCGGTAGCAAAGCCAAAAGTCAACAGAGTGTTTGAAGATGTTAGAAAAGTAGATGCTAGCATATTTACTGGTGTAAGCGGTAATGAAAAAGTCGAGATAGACAGAGTGTAAAAGAACGAAGAAGAATGTTTTAAGTAGAGTTTGTAAGGAAGAGAGAAACAAAACAGCACATAACAGAAAAGAGAGAGAGAGAGAAAAGGAAATGAAAGAAAGAAAACGATGTACCCACAAATGATATGAGTTGGAAAGACGAGATCCAGTTGTTCTACTGACTATTTATTCAGTTATAGGTTTCACACCTAATGGTTTCTTTATCGTACAGAACACGAGCTAAGTAGGATATGGTTGATTTTTTTGTAATTGCTAGTGCGAGCATATAGTTTTCTATATAGGCTTCTGGTTTGGTCTGGCTTGATGAGATACAAGGGGAGAGTTGTGAATGAAGAGGGTGTTGTGAGTTAGATAGAATGGATTTTTCACATGAGTCCATGTGCCTGTCAACCAGAATATTAACAAGCTGGTTAAGTTGCACATTGCTGACAACCTTTAACATCCTACATAATAAGGTATAGTCTTTCTTCAGTAGCCCTGGAAAAACTAAGGGGGAGCAATAGAGAATAATGGGCAGAATGCGAGAGTTAACGAATTGTAGGAGTAAGGGTTGGGTTATACCAGAATGTCTTAACTTCTTGATGTAGAAGAAGGTAGGACGGAATATTTTCTTATCAATCATCAAGATATGAGACGACCAGGAAAGATCAGGAGATAGAATGACGCCAAGATATTTAATTTCAGCAGTTCAACTTGTCACACTCCCTCCATGTAGCACACAAAGCAAGACAGGGGATGAATAGAGAAAAAACAGACAGAAATGCTAGGCATAGCGGTAAGGACGCTCGCCGACCATGCACATGGTCTGGGGTTCGATCCCCTGTCACGGACGCACTCCTTTATCTCCCCCTAAGCCAGAAAAATGCTGGTAGAGAGGAAAGGTTGGGCATGAGGCTAGCAACCCCATCCTGTAAAATTAAACACTGCTACAGAAACTTCAAGGCACTAGCTTGAAGCCTTATGTTCCACTGGGGAACGTGAAGGAAAAAAAAAGCGAGGCAAAAAGAATAGTGAAAATTAAAGCATTCAAGGTAATTCATTGTATCCCACCGAATCTTTCTTGCAATAGACTTCGTATTTGTCTACTGCATACAGCTGAGACAGGCGATAGGCATTCCAACTGTTAAGCCTAAACTATACGTTCAAAAGTAGTTCGTACAACAATTATCTCTCGCTTATTGGCCTATTAACACATAACCAACTGATGACTTCTCCATCAACCCTTGCTTACTTACTTATATTTTCAACCTCTCTCTTATCATCCATCCTTTAATCTCATCACATCTTTACAAAACACATTTCACTTACATTAATTTATGTGTAAATTTTGGTCACTGTGATAGTGAGTAATTCAATATTAGTTTGTTTATTAGTTGCATCACACAGTGAAACAGCATTCTTCACTGGATGACGTTTCGAACACAGTTATCTATTGTTCATAATCATTTCATCGATTATAATCAAACGACTTCGAAACTTCAGTTTTATAGTTTTCTTTATTCTCTTGTATTTGTCATCGTTGGGGTAGTAGAATTTTCCGTATATCCGACTGGACAGGTGCTGAATTATTCCTATTACACGTATTCTCCTCAGTTGATTCGATAAACAAAGCTTCTGTCATCAATCTCTTCCTCCACCCTGCTACTACACTAGATTTTAAAACTGTCATTTTATCCCATCATTCTGTTGTATGGTTGTGTGTAATTGCACGCAGGGAGTGGTATAGCTGGACTATTCTCCAGATTTCTTATCTTACTCGGGTCAACTAATCTTGATTTCGCTAGGTTTTTATTCTCGTAAACGGAAATGGCAAATTAGAAAGGCTAGTGGGGGGTGGGTGGGTTGATTAGAATTTATCCTCTAGGCCAAGGGAGAGACAAAGGTAGAACAATCTTCTCTTGTTGTATGCAAAGATCAGGATTGTTCTCTCATAGCTTCGGGTATGTGTAAACGGCGGGGTTCGAATTCCATTCAAAAAGCTCAATGGAATGCTATAGATAACTTTGAAGGCACTATTTCTGTCCACTTGATGATCTATCAATCAAATGAGTCAAAATATACCTTCTTATAGATTTCACTTGTTGTTTTCCGAACCATGAAGGAAGATGCTGATTAATACGTTTGTTAAGCTGTCTAGTTGTTTGCTCTATGTAGCTCTCTTTCTAGACAGGAGCAACTAAATTTGTAGATACACATAGAAGTGACAAACACACACACACACAGCTAAGTAGTTAGGACGATATTTCACACTCTTAAATCTTCTTATATAATTAGATGTAGTTTAGAGATCATTGTATTTGGCGGCGTGTTTAGATCAGTGGGATACCTGTGAATTTCTATCATGAATTTATTTTTCTCCGGTTTCTTTCTGGGTGTTTTAATCATCATCCAATAATATCCTTCTATTGCAACATGAATCTAAGGAAATTTTAAAAGTTGACTTTGAACCTTAATATTGACTGATTGACTACTCACTGGTTTCAACATAGAATACTGCACCGATGAGCAGCAGTTCGAGACGCCACACTCGCTCCATGTAGCACACAAACCAAGAGAAGAAAGTAGAAGAGTGGCATAATAGAGACAGTAAACAGAAATATGAGACGAAAAGAATATTAACATAGTTTCATTGGGTATTATAAGTGACAAGGAGTGGATGCATCTGAGCCAGACATTGACAACGATTTTGAAACATATCACACACACCAATTGTCTCCAGCAGTCATTGGTTTTTACCATTTTGTGGACCCAAACCAGGAAGTCTACACCTCCCTACGTGGCTGGCTGGCTGGCTGGCTTAAACTAACTGTTGTGAATTTTATTGACGGATGAAACCATGTTTTGGTTTGACCACCATGTGCTAGCTCTTTTCCAACCTGATCCATCCTATGTTAGCTAACATTGACCATTATTGAAGGAAAGCGATCGTTGGTTGGGCATGCGCCACACATGTCCTAACCATCTCACTCAATCGGTGTAACATCACAACCTCGTCGATTGATTCCCCCCCCCTCCTCCTCCTCCTCACCTAACTAACAGTCAACAGATGCCTAACTTCAATATGGCTCATCTTATTGTTGTTATACCACTTGATACGGGAGGCAGATAGAACGCAGACAACTATGATCAAAGACAGCTAGCTAACCTTCACATGTCTTCCACTTTCAATAGCCATGCGTCGCTCGGAGCCATAGAGGACAGCTGAGCAGTTCACCTGCCCTTTGTTTGACAGGTAGCCGGATATCACTTCCACTAAGCGCCATAGATGGCATATGCTGAACGAACGCTGAGATTTCATCAGCGATCAGCACATAGGGGTCGATGCAACTTCCCAAAATCAGTGAAGCGATCAACACGCTCCATCAAGCACTTCGCTTCTGTCTATCTTTAAGCTAGGAGTGAGTCGACGAGTAGTTCAGTCCTGCAGCATCATCTCACTACATATTCAAATCTTTAAATATTCCCATTTATAATATTAGAACAAGACATGTAAGCGAACAATATTGCTGTGATCAATTAGATCTTCTTCAGGCTTCACTCAAATTTACATAGATTTATATATAAAAATTTTTAACTAATGACGATGATTGTGTGGATCAAATTATAATAATAATGTGGTAAATGTTTTGAACGTAGTTAATAACGATGATTATAATGACAATAAAATATTGATAATAAGGTTTATGCAGGTGATAAGAATAACAAAGGCAGTAATATGTGTGTATATATAGACAATTCAATAAATAAATAAATTAGGTCAAATCTTAAAAGGTGAAATGGAACGATAATCAGAGTTTAAATAAATATCATAAAAGTACGAAGGAGATGGAAAATAAGAAAGGGTGGGAGGGTTTTGAATAGAATTCACCTAAGCTAAGCAAGGGAGAGACAAAGGTTGAGCAAACTTCTTTTGCTGTATGCAAAGACTAGGATTGTTTTCTTGAATTCCCACAGTTTCGGCTAAGTGTAAAAGACGGGTTCTGACTCCGTTCGAAAGACTCGATGGAATGCGATAGATAACTTTGGAGGCACTATTTCTGTCCACTTGGTGACCGCTATCATCCATCAAATGAGCCAAAATAGAACTTCTTATAGATTTTATTTGACCTTTTCCGAACCATGAAGGAAGATGCTGATTAATGCGTTTGTTAAGCTGTCTGGTTGTTCGCCCCATATAGCTCTCTCCACAGGAGCAACTAAATTTATAGATACACATCGAAGTGGCACAGCTAGGTAGCCTATTTTTCACTTGACCAATCAAAACTGGTCGGTTGGAAAATGACAAACAGAGGGTGGCGGCAGTATAAGTCCGTTTTATCGCTCTGGATAATCTCAAATGTAAGACTTCGCTAGCCACGTCCCCATTAAATTGCAGTTTGATGAACAGTTGTTTCTTTTTAACTGTTGTCAGTTTCTCTTTATTGTACCTGGTGTTCACGTGTCTCCCTACATATCTACTAGGATAACCTATTTGGACCAACGTATTTTGGATGTATGCTAGCTCATTTTCTAGGGAGTCATCTGTACAGATACGTCTTGCTCTATTCGTGAGGCATCTGACCAAATTGACTTTGTATCAGATTGGTACAAAACTGAGGAAATGTGTATATTGTCCTAAACAGATGTAGGTTTTCTATAGACATCTCTCTTGCGTAGTGAACCATCCTCTCTTCTGCTCAGTTG